CCATTTTCGTTGTGTGTTTATGTGAATAGTGATGAATTAATTTAATACATATAATACAGATATTGGTGCACGAAGTGTACACCCAAAACGCCATTGTATTCAGTGTGAATTTGGATGATTTACTATTATTTTCATAACTATTCATTCCGGTATGTCATTTCCGTCTACAGATATCTAGAGATATTGTTCTCGAGAAAAAAAAGAACTGACAATGTAACGCTGTACTATTTCCGGCTATTCTGCAATATACAGTTGGCTTTATAGTCCAGTCAATTTATGGTTTGACCCATCACAAATTGCCACAGAAATAATTTCTTCACAATACATTCCGAGGAGGTGCGTAGATTGACATACTAAAAGTCTAGGAAAATCTAGGCTTCCAAAATATACCTAATTTGCATATATTCAAAATGGCCGTTTGGTACAATTTTACAACATGGAAAATATAACTATTAGGACAAATCTTTAATTCTAGCCGACACTTTTCAGATATTCAAGTTGCTGCGATATGGTTTAGTGTGTGTGAATGTATGTAATTGTGAAACATTTGATTGAATAACAACCATTTAACTAAATCCAATATGGCTGTCAAAATAGTATCATTTAAATGTGCAACCTCGAGCGGCCCCTCAGAGTCTGTTCCCTGTATTGACTTCGTTAGCCACGCCATGGGTTGAGGGGGAACATCGATCCTAGTGACCTGATGCTCAACCCCCACCCCACCCCAACCTCGATCCTGAAACAGTCACTCTCGGTGGAACTGTCACTTCCGGGATCCAGAGTCCTGAATTCGGTATTGCTTTGGATCCCGAAGAGTGCTGGATGTAGGGGGCGCACAGATGGTGTTGATGGGTGGACCTTGGTCCCCCACATGATAGAGGCCTATGTCCTTAGGGTAGGCCAATTTTATGCTCAACCTTTTGCACTGGATCAAGTGCTGCCTGATCGAGTGGTGTTTGAGACCGGAGCCAGCAGAGTCTCGAGTCAAATCTCGCGCCCCGAATGGATCCTTTGATTCCTCCCCGACCCGGTAACACAATTTTTTTTAAGTTCGGTGGGATGGGCAAAGGGGTGGGCGCGTTCATGAAATATTTCGACCAGTTACTCTGAAACAATCCACACACTGAGTGGCGACCCTAAACCTTCGAGTTGTGGCCAGCCCACTGGAACACCGCAAGCACTCTGAAGCATCAATGGCGAAACGCACCAGCCTCCTAGACCAGTAGACACAGCCAGTGGTGGGACACCACACGGCTAAGCGGAATATCCTGCAGTGTTATCTGGCTCTTGTGGCAGGGGCTGCCTCTGTACAGTGGAATGCGGTTTTGGCTGTTTTCACTGGCCGCACCACCGCCTCAGTTATGCAGGCTGGACCGCCCCCACCATCTTCGTTTTTGAGGATGAATGAAGCAGTCTCGATGCTTCAGGATCCCACTGACCAGTTGGTACAGGTGAGACCAGCGAGCCAGTTTGGCTTTTGCCATGGGTAAGCGGTAATGCCTCAAGCTGAGAAAATGTAACAACTGAAGTCGGCACTCAATGGCCAGAAGTAGCCAGTAACGAGGAGGGAAGAATGGCAACACGCCCCCTAGGAAGAAGGAACCAGGTGGTGGTCTTCCCCATCTTCCTGTGGGGTCACCTACCCAGCTCGCAGGGGAAGCAGGTTTGATGCTTCCTCTTGCGAGAAGGGGGAGACACATATGTTCGGCAGGAGTTGAAATCTATTGACTTATACAGGTCTCGTGGGGTCTCACCTCAGTAGGGGAGAGATCACCCTGATGTGGAACCGCCAAATTAAGACATCTCTGTCGCACTGATTGTGCTGGTTCGGAGGCAGTGTGTAACCAATCCCTGGACTCTCCAGGTGTCGAACATGGTTACAAGATTCCATTGCAATCTCCACCCCTGGCACCAGCCCCCATTCAGGGCACTACCAGGGGACCCCACAAAGTGGGAGCAATCTGACAGGAGGTGGATAGTTTGCTTACAAAAGATGCTATACGCAGGATAGGGGACCTGGCGTTAAGTTCGGGCTTCAACTCGCAAGTATTGATGGTTCCAAAGACTACAACTGAGACTGCAAGTGGCTGTGCCCCGTTCTGGGCTTAAGCAGACTAAATCAGTATGAGCTTCTTGGAAACGCCGAGCACCATATTATTCTCTGTGCTCTGTTTCTACTGGTTATCCTCGCTAGATTTGAGCCATACTTACCCGCACATACACCCTGTGAGTCAGCGAGTGCGGGGTGCTCCCCTTCAGGTTTTGTATGGCTCCATACATATTCACATATGTGTAGAAACAGGTGGTGCTACTGTTGCACCGGTACACATTACATCGATACACATCAACGTGTACCTAGATGGCTGGTTGCTAAACAACCCAACAAGCGGTGGTTAGTCAAACAGTAAGGCTAACACCAGATTTTCTAGACCCGTTGTGCTTCCTAGTAAATCGATCCCACCCTCAGCCAACACAGTTGGTGTACCTGGCCAGGGAGTTCAACACGGAGGTGGACTTGGTATGGTCACTGCAGGCTTGTTGCCTAAACGACCTAGCCAAATGCCTAGTCAGCATTCCCTCTGTGTCCCTCTGAGAACCAATGCGGTTTGCAGGGTAGTTCCCCCAGGCTGCGTTACGCGTTAGCGAGGGATGCCTTGTCCTGGTGGCCAGCAGGGGATTCCCTTGGATCCACTCGCTACAGCTATGGCCCCTGCATTAGATTCAGGACTGCCATATTAACTGGCTCGAACTGAAAAAAGTGCGCTTAGCACTACTTCACTTTCTACCCATAGTTCAAGACCACAGAGCCTTGCTTCACACAAACAACACAGTGGTGGTCTCCTATAGCTACAAGGAGTGGGGACCAGATCGCCATCGTTGTCAGTCCCAGCGGAGCAAATTCTCCTTTGGCACCTGGAATACAATGTGGAGCTACCAACACAGACTACGTGGAAAAGAGATTCATGCCATACTTTTGTTGGCCAGACAGCTGACTTTTCATCCATCGTTTGAATGAAATGGACTTGTCCTTTCAACGATTGTTGGCTATAGGTCAGCCTTGTCACTGTCACACGCAACGTAATATTACCGTAATTGGTATAGTACAGGTGTGATGGTTCAAATACCAAAATGGCAACAGTAACATAAACACTTCCCTGGCGGCGATGATAACATACGAACACAGAGCCAACAGATGAGGTTTCAACTGGTACTGGTATTATTATACATCAAGTACAATAACGTGGTAAAACTCCACTACTAGATAACTAGGTACTTAAACTCCAATACAATTCAACGAGATCTCCGATCTGAACTCAGTGCTGAACAACTCCCCTATATATACCCCCACTGTCTATAAATAGACCATTACATCAGCATACATAATGAGTCTGGAACTTACTACAAATTTCTAGAATGTTCCATTACCTTATATTGCGTCCTACAGTGTTCTATTACCTATTCAACCAGTTTCTAAAAAATATCTAGAATATTCCATCCAGACACAGTACGGTTCTAGAACATTCTCAGTGGCACGGAAATGGTAAATAAGTCGTATGCGACAGTCACCCACCATTGAAATTCTCTGGAGACGAGGCTAGCCGGTTGTCCTACCATTAGGAGACTGTTATACTGTTTAATCAGAGGCCTAGAACCAAAACTAGGGAACCAACCAATTGGAACTTATCTGTTGTGTTGGCAGCTCCAAGCAGACTGCCCTTTGAGCCTCTCCGATCAGCACCACTCAAACTGTTGATGTGGAAAACAGTCTTCCAACTCACCCTCGCCTCAGGTAGGCGTCGGGCTGAACTTGGGGCCCTGTCTTTCTTGGACTGGTGTTTCGCCTTTATAGACAATCAATTTGTGATAAAGACACGAATCGTGTTTCTCGCCAGGAAGCAAATCCCAGGACGCGATCCACAACCGATCGTCATTTCTATAATGACTGACAAGGAGCCAGCACCTGAATTTCTATTGAGCATAGTGAGATGCAACTGCTCCACAGACTGTCGCAGTATCAGATGTACCTGCAAAAAGCACAACCTTGAATGTTCTGCAGTTTGTGGTGGATGTCGAGGATCTTGATGCACAGATGTAGTTCAGATATCTGATGAAGATAGCAATGACGATTAGCAATTACATTAATCAAACAATAAACTTTTGGACAGAATTTTAGCTATTTAATGCATTTTTTTAAAATCAAAAATATAGTTTATAGATTTGAAAATTAACGTTTAAATGGTCTATTATGTATATACATGTAGTATAGCAGATTTATAGATCAAACCAAGGTGTTTCATTCCTCTCGTTTTTCTTCACCCAGGAAACCATTTATTTACATCTTTTCTGTACTGTACGATTCTGTTTAAAATTATATTCTAGCATCTTATACTTATTACTTATGCCACATAGAAGAGAAGCCGGAAGAGAAGTTACATTAAATATTTATATTATTGCGGCCACATTGGATTTATGCTAATTTTCCTCTACCCAATCAACACATTTGGCACTCTCAAACCGTCTCCGACTCAAAACAGTATCATAGCATCATGAATTTTTAAAATTACTTCATCTTGAATTAAAGTAATGTTCAAATAGTTATATTTCCATGTTGTAAAAATGTGCAAAACGACCATTTTGAATATATGCAAATTAGGTATATTTCGGAAGCCTAGATTTTCCTAGACTTTTAGTATATCAATCTAGATACCTTTCTGAAAAGCACTGTGAAGAAATTATTTTTGTTGCAATTTTTGACGGGTTGGCCCCTCTTTTTTTGCTAGAATTACTGGACAATTAGCTTTGCTTTAAAGCAATTGAAATGACACGTATACCTTTCTAGTTACTGTACTAAGTGAACATAGTTACAATGACTGCAGATTTGTGTGTATTCTTACGACGTTTGTGCTAACCACTGTTTCTTCCCGTGCGTGAACGCAATTGGGTCTATCCGATAAGGAAGCATATAAGATTAGTTTAAATCTGAGCAAGTATCACGTGTTATCTGTACAATACTACTGTCAATTTTTAATCCAAGCGTAACATCATTCCGAAAGTGTGTGGGTGAAATTAGCATATCATACGATGACATCTTAACCATATTGGTTTGTAAATACATGCACAGACACCATTTAGTTTTCTAAATTTTTCGCTCGTGTATAATCTCTAGTCCAGAGATGTAATAAGGATAATCCTGAGTTCGGTGGCAATGAAACCGACCTCTGTAACACTGTGTTTTTTTAAGACGACATTAAGCACGTGTCGTAAATAGTGTTAATCCACAAGCTGCCTAAACGATTATCGTCGTTGCATTGAAGAATGAATACTTTTTTTTTATATTCACGTTTCTAAGGACCAGCCATTATTTCGCTTTAACTCAGTCAAAACATTGTTTAAGCCGGCTTGAGACTTACTATTTGCTTTTCAATACTGGCTTATAAAGTCAGAAGTGTCCAACGTGGCGGGTCTCAACGTGTTATTTCGGCTCTGGGTTTTCTGTTTTTATATAGCAAGTGTAGGTGTCTTAAATCGTCATCGAGTATTCCCAACTAATTTGAGGCGTATATTGCGCAAAAAACTTCTATGTTTTTTTATTAATGGAAGCATTCGTTTCAGTCTTTTGAAATATTATACTCTGTTAAAATACGAGTCGAACACCCGAAATGCATTACGCAGGCACGATGATAATCGATAATCGTGCAAAATGTTTAGATTTTCAATTTGTATTAAGTTTATATGCTATATTTTCTGTGGATTCTTCCCTCCATCAACCGAACCAAGCCGGCCTCGGCTTTTTCCAAAGGTGAACAAAACACACACACTCGGGCATAAAATCCCCGGACAAGACACCTGGACAAAATACCCCGGACATAACAGTCCCTAACACCTCCTAACAACACCCCAATCCATTGCATATACTTTTGTAGCGTAGTAAAATAACAATAACAATGACACTGAAACAATTTGTACAGGGTGCAACTTTGTCATTGATTGCTGTATCTAAACATGATTCATACCCGGCAAAAGATGTTGCAATCAATTATCAATACCATCACCTGTTTCATTTGTGATTGTCGATAACACAGATTTCCGTCTACAAAACATAATTCACGTGGATAAGAAAACCTTCTACATGCGGCATAATGTTTCTATGAAGCGAGAATTTGATTTGCAACTTGATCATCTTACCCAAATTAAAACGCGGTTACATGGATCCTTAATATATATTACTGCAACGACTATGGTCGTTTGCGTCCGAGCGCAGGTGATCATTTGCCCGACGTTAAAAAGGCAATTTATCTCAATTAATATTTGTATTACATGCCTTTAATAACATAAATAACACAAGGGTTATATCTTAATGTTTAAAAGTAATTCTTTTGGTAAAAGGTGCATTTTTCATAAGCAGTAACAACATTTTTACATGCAATCGCGTTAATCGCATTTATTGATGGTGAGTGAATTTGTATGAGTCACTTTAAAACTGCCTCGATCCATCCCGGCCTTATTACACTAAAGGTGTTTGCCCCGGTTCATGTCCAGGTAGTTAGAAAATGAAATCAGGCCGAGGTGTGGTATAAATCGGGTTGCTTATGCATTTTAAAAGTGGATTGGATCAGTGGCTTATCACTGTTATTCCCACACGTGGACGTTGGGGCCTGTACGTGTTGGGTTACAAGTAGAAACAGCAAATATGTAACTATATTCGTAGTATGGCATCAATACAGACATAGTAAAAAACGAGGAAACGTGCCCGCCAAAAAAATTGCTAAATAAAACGAATGTTATTGCTCGGGTAATTTTCTAGCTTAACTGCCTGACATTAAGATATAATAATTTTATATAATCCGACTGTATTTTTTTCAATGACGTTAGAAGAAACAAACGCTTGCAAAGTTTTGTAATAATCCTAGCTGGAGGCGATGAATAACGCTATTCTGAGAATAATCACGTGTGTTTGATGACGTATATAGAAAGAGATTATATATTTATTACATGCATATTTCCACAGGTACAAACATGAACTGGCGGACAGTTGAAATTAGTACTATTTCTAAAATAACACATTACGTACAGTACATTTGGCAATTTGAGGATACGTCAGGATAGCGTGATCATCACATAACCAATGACAGCGTTCTGTGTGAAAAAGTACTAGTACGATCCAGTGACCGAGTATCACTAACGGGCTATCCTTGTTGGATGTGAAGGTAAAACAGATTATTATTGGTGTTACTGATTGATAGAAGAGTGATCACTCGATCGCTGGTGAAAAAAAAAAACTACATGTAATGTGTAAACAACTCACGCAGCGCCGTTCGCATTTCGTCTCTTCGAACGATATATTAAAACAAAGATCGCATTCAAATTGAAATCGCAAATATGTGTTTCGCAGCGCGTCTTTATCAGAGACGCCGCTTGAACGTGTGTACAAGAACAAGAGCGCCACTTAATCACTTAATGTCCGGAAAAGTCGTAAAATATAGTGATTTTCCATTTTATCACTGTAAGAAGGGCATATCATGATGAAGTTATATTCATCTTCGATTTCTTTGTCAGCGCAAAAGATACAAATTCACGACGTCGAGAATTAAAATTTGCATATAAAATCTATAGTATAAAGCTATAACTTAAACACCAAATAAACTGTTAATACATAGGGTGGTGGGAAAAATACAACTACTTTTTTATATTTATTGATTATTAAAATCTTCCTTAAGTTATTCCAACTTCCCGAGGTTGGGCACCATAGTGAGCACCATAGTGCCACTAACGAATTGAAGGACAACATATCACTTTCACAATGTATTTTGTAATTAAAATGTAAGATATTGTGGTAAAAAGATGCAAAATGCTCGTAAGTGATAACATGACACAACAACACACAGAACCATCGATGTACAGTAGTAAATCCTGCTTTTATTTCATGATAGGTTGAAACAACACAAGTACGTGACCATCGTAAAACACTGAAATTTGTTAGTGACGTTAAAAAGAAGATTGAAACCAAATGGGGCATTTAAGGATAGGGATTTTGGAAACAACAAAAAACAAGGACCAACGATTGACACCACGCACAGCCGGAATCGTAGTCACCACAATGACGCCCTCAATAGTTCGACAAGGAATTAAATCTTAACACAAATGAATCAAGACGACGGTAATGTAAGGTTTTCAAAACTCATTTGAATGAACAATGTGATTTATAAAGCTAATGTAGATCTGTATTTGAGGTGATTGCTTTTTGCCATTTCTCCAATTTTCCATTGGAATCAAAAATATCCTAATTCTGATTGTGAGTGCCTTTTTTATTTCGTGGCTTGAGTATTTTTGGTTTTTCCCTTTTAGTTTTTTTCATTGTTTTTTCTTTGTAACTTGTTTTCACATTTTGCATTGTTTTTCTGCACTATGTTTAATGATAATGATTCCAAGCAGCTCGTTTTGTAACATGAACTTGTTTGCTTACAAGAAACTTGGATTTCGAAAAATAGAAATATTGGGCGTGCTGGTGGTTTTGATCGTTGTGATACTATTTGTCAGCGTAGAAACCCAGGTAGTTCTAGGTAACAAGAGGAGTGGCAGTTTATTGAAAATAAACTTAATAAGAACAGTTTCGGGATGTACTAGATAATTTAATTTGCAAAATCGACAAAGCAATTTGTTTTCCAAATAAAGATCCTTATGTAGGTTGTATTTATACATAAAAATGGTTTTGTTTGCAACAACAAAAACGTTGCATTATGTGTCTTATAAATTGTAGTTTAAATATAACTTTAAATTGAATGGTCGTTA